ACTAGGGAAGCATGCCAAATACTTGACAAAAGTGTTTGACAAATTAAAGGAACACAAGTTGTATGCTAAAGAGAGCAAATGTGACTTTGCTCAACAAGAGGTAAAATTTCTTAAGCATGTGGTGGGCAAGGACGGGCTCAAGGTGGACTTGAGAAGGTCTAACTAATCGAGAAATAGGAACAACTATCAAATGTACACGAGTTAAGGGTGTTTTTGGCTATGCAACTACTATTGAAAGTTTATCAAACACTATTTGAGAGTAGCTCCACCTTTAATAGACCAAACGAGAAAAGAGAAGATAATATGGACAGTGGAATGTGAGTGGCATTTATCCAACTCAAAAGAAAATGGAGGAAGACTTTTGTGTTCACATTACAAGACTTTGATAAGGACATTATGGTAGAAATAAACACTTCAAACTTTGCATTAAGTGCAATTTTAAAGCAAGATAACCACTCAGTGGCATTCTTCTCGAAGTGGTTGGACAAAGCTCAACAAAATTGGTTTATCTATGAAAAGAAATTGTTTCCTGTGGTCAAGGTGTTTAAAGAGTGGCCACACTACTTAGGATACACTTCAAGGTATATATGGATAATGTGGCAACAAAACATTTCTTGTCACAGCCCCATGTGAACTTATTCAAGCTATACTTTGAGGACCCACTTTGCAAGGACTAAATAAAACCTTTACCCAAGGTTATTTAAGGGGAGGAGGAATATGAGGTTGAGGCCATCCTCAATAAGCGCAAGAGCAAGTAACAAGGATGTGAGCTAAAGGAATTTTATAAAGTGGAAAGGATTTACACTCTGCAAAAAAATATAAGAAATAGAGGAGAACCTAGATAACATAAAATCTAATGGAGGAATTTTTGCAAAATAGAACTCTATATACTTATACAAAGTTCAATTAAAATATCCATTTCTGAAATTGAGCAATATCATATATTGGGACCTAAAAGCACGCCAAAGGTAAGCTAATTAACATAGGTCTAACTAAGTCAACCAAGTGTAGGGAGTTATGCCTAACTCTCTAAAGGGATGTTGAATCCATAGACATATTCTATGGAGGTCTCAACCCTATACAAGGGCAAGGTGAGGTGAGGGGTATAGAGAGACCTATATCTCATTGGTATGGGCTCTTAGCCAAGGAGGCGAACTTATGCAAACCACTAAATGGGAGGATGCCCCTGAAGAACAAATCGTAAGATTAAATAGAGACATTTGATGTGGGCATTGAACTTTTTGTATGGGTGGTGGAGTTGTAAGGAATCAACTTCATGAGGTGTTGTAAGCTAAAGGATCCCTGAAACCAATATCAAAATAATAAAGAGTTCATCAAATGAGACCAAGGATGAAATTGAGAATGAGTCCAAGACTAACTTTGAGACCGAGTTCAAAATTGAGTCCAAGACTGAGTTCAAGATTGGAGATCAAGTCTGAGTTCAAGATTAAATCCAAGGCCGAGTTCGAATACTAATACAGATTATGGGATGAAAGCCTAAAGTGATCATCTTCGGGGGGGGGGAGGGGCTGCAGGGGGTTCCACAAGTATAATAGGGATAGTGAGGTTTAGGAACTAGTCTTGAAGGAACTCTCTAATTGTGCTTCTAAACCGACTTAAAGTTGGGACTAGGGGTTGAAGGTCTTGGGTGGGAGTGAGCAGGATTTGGGTGGTGCTAAAGAAGCTAAAGAAGGAAGTGCTCAAGAGTAACTCCCACTCCCGAAAGGGAAACCGACTACAATGCTCCCAGCTCAAGTGGAGTGGTGCCCTACTTGAGTACCATACGATTCATTGGTCCTCACTCCTTAAGGGCTTAGACCTTCCCTTTGGGAAAAAAGTGGGGGAGTAGAGGTACTGAAAGCTCTTGAATTTGAACTTCCCAAGAAGTCACCCAACAATATTACTCAAACCTAAGGACACTTAGCCCCAAGTATCCTAAGACCCTTAACTAATTGAAAAAATACCTCCCATCTCATTTGTCCTAGGGTCTGTAAACTCCTGAGTTTGGATTTCCTGGGAGGTCACTCAGCCCAGTACTATTCAAACCTGAAGACGTTTAACCCCAAGTATCCCAAGACCTTTAACCGATTGGAAAAAGGGGTGCACTCTTGTTTATGAGCCCTTTCCCTCTATATTTGATCCCCATAGACTGTCTTTTGAGTCATTCTCTTTGGTTGCTTACAATCCACCATACTTCCCTACAAGTGCACGCCCTCATGAACAGAAGTTAAGAGCCATAGCTCTCTTGAAAGCCCCACTCTCTTGACACCCTACCCCTCGGGTTGAGCCCAATTGAAGCAAACTAAATCTGCCAGACGTCAATCAATATATGGTGTGATTCTCCTAAGCTAACTAATAGAGTCGAACCCAAGACCTCTCTAATACCAAATGTAAGCTTCTGAATTTGGACTTCCCAAAAGGTCACTTAGGCCAGTACTACTCAAACCCAAGGACACTTAACCCTAAGTATCCCAAAACCCTTAACCGATTGAAAAAGATGGTGCATTCTTATTCATAGGCCATTTCCCTCTATATTTAATCTCTATGGACTGTCTCTTGACTCATTCTCTTTAGTTGTTTATAGGTACCCATACTAAGTCGTTATGCCACAATGTTTCCCCCCAAGGTCCCGAAGCAAAAGATGCACTAAAGGCTTGGGATTTTAAGGGTTTCATAATCAAGTCTTGTTATACCAAGGGATGTTAAGAAGCTAGAGGCTTAGTGTGTTTAGCTGCTTATGGCTCCGGGGAATGTAGGTGAAGCTTAAGTCCAGTTTAACCCAGGGAAAGGGATTGGGAGAGAATTTGAAAATCCATGAATGGATGGATAACACTCCATTGCTCATGTAGTGAGTAGTTGAAACTAAGTAGAACTAAGTAGAAGCTAGTACAATAGGTGGGAACCTTGGCAAGGGAACTTAATTAAGGCCAAAGTAGTGGTCGTCAAATAAATGAAGTTGTGAGACACAAAACCCCTAGGCCCTAAAGTGGAGCCAGAAGGGTGCCACGTGGTAATGGCCAAAGTGAAAGACAAACGAGCGTAACACGTTTGGACTAAAAGCTCCGACTTGAAAGGTCGAGAGCGGGAGTGGAACTCCTAACAAAGTGCTTGAGGAATGAGCACAAAGCGAGCAATAAGCGAGGCTCTAAAAAGGGACCCAAAAGGATCAACACATGATACGTGGAGGAGTCTGAGATGGAGTCCGAGATGTACTCCAAGACGAAGTCCAAGATGGAGTCCGAGATGGACGGAGACGGAGACAGAGACGGAGTCCGAGATGGAGTCCGAGATGGTCCCGAGATGGACCCAAGATGGAGTCCAAAATGGAGTCCGAGATGGACCGAGGCAGAGTCCGAGATGGAGTCCCAGATGGACCCAAGATGGAGTCTGAGATGGACCGAGATGGAGTTCGAGATGGAGTCCGAGATGGACCCGAGATAGAATTCGAGATGGAGTCCGAGAAGGACTCGAGATGGAGTCTGAGAAGGACTCGAGATGGAGTCCGAGGTCGAGATCGAGACCGAGACCGGGACCGAGACCAAGACTCGGACCGAGACCATGACCAAGACCGAGACCGAGACCGAGATCGGGACCAAGACCGAGACTGAGGCCGAGGCCGAGACCAAGCCCGAGCCCGAATCCGAGTTCGAGTCCAAGTCCGAATCCGAGTCTGAGTCCGAGTTCGAGTCCGAGTTCGAGTCTGAGAGGGTGAAAGCCCAAAGCATTCGTCTCCCAGACCCTGGGGGGTTTGGTGAGTTCCAAAAGTATAGTAAGGGGGGAGGACTGCAGTGGAGCCAGTTTGGCCAGGAAAGGCCAGTTTGGCCCAGGAAGTATTGGGTGATGAGCTGCCCACTGGGAAGTCCAAGACTAGAATGAATATGGACTGACAAACGGAGTGTTCAAGAGCCGGCTCTAGTTTCCCCGGGAGATTGACTAGCCGATGCTCCCAGTCCAAGTGTGGGTGGCACTACCTACTTGGATACACAGTGTGGCTTAACGGAACCTCACTCTAAGCCTATGGCTAGAGCACCCAAAGGTAGAAGGTGGGGAGAGTACCTATAAGACTCGCGTAAGGCCACGGTGTTCCGAAATGTTGTCACAAAGTCCTAGACGGTGAAAAGGAAGAGGAGCAATCCTCTAGTGTAGTGACTAAGGATACGGTCACATGGTGAGGAAGTCCTAAAGGATAGTGGGACTTAGGGGTTTGGCCTGTGAGCCTTGATCTAGTGGCAATGTTGGCGAACACGGCCATGGACAAAAAGGGACTTGGTGGGGATTGGAAAAGGGGTATTGGGGAAGGCTAATCCCCATGTCTGTGGCCATCCTAAGGATGCTAAGGAGTGGATCTGGGATGATCACTCATGGATGGATGGCTAGTTTTTGAGAGATGGAACTGTGATGCAGGTGGTGTTAGACCACCAGTGTGACCAAGGTGAAGGGGCATGGCCTTAGCGTAACAGGTTGATATGTTGATGGTACTTTGGGGTCAATCATGGGATCGGACACGTGGAGCACTTGGACCAAGTGCAAAGGTTGAGTGGCGGGGATGCCATTCGTGGGGCTAGCAAGCCCAAGTCCGAAATAGGACTTATGGAGGTTATGAGTGAGACTCCTCCAAGTGGTCGGAGGTGTGGTTAAGTGACTAAAGTAGAATGGAAAATTTAGTCACTTACAGAGGTAAGCTGGCAAATTAGAAAGGAAAAATTTGTGGCTTACAAGTTACCAACACTAGCAAATGCAAGTCAATGAATGAGTTTCTTTAACTAAGCTAAGTGTATTTCGATAATAACATTTAGGAATTTTGTTCTTATGCTCATCTGGTTAAGTGCATATGTGATGACTAGTTTCTCAACTTAGGTGGAGACTATAAAGTGAATTGGTAGTATTAATCTTTTACCATTGTAGTAGTAAATAAAGAGTGTCTATAAGGATTAGCCAAATATCTTTTGATAGCTAAAGTCATATCCACAACATGAAGTCAATCCAAAAATGTAGTGCACCTGAATTTGGAGCTGAACTCCAAGCCCATTGCACTACGAAACGAGAGTCCAGTATAATCCCACGAGCACCAACTCTCCGTACTAGCACCTACACGTAAAATGGTGTCAAACAGAGTCTAACACAATTTTGGCATACCGGTGGCCTAACGCGAAGAGGAGGGTACCCCACCAACTAGAGCAGCGTGGAGCTTGGGCTTAGACCCAAGCCAGATGCAAAACAAGGAGCGACACAGCCTAGCGGGAGCCAAACTAATATCTCAAGTGGTCAGACATGTATTCTAACCACTATCCCTACTTAACATTTGGCTTCATAAGCCCTCCCCCCCCCCCCCCCTTCCCCCTTAAGGAACACACACTTTGGGCTTTCACCCCAAGCCTCCCTTAGTACTAAGAGTTAGTCTTTGGGACAAACTCGAAACTTACTAAATATGGAATGTCTCTAGATTGAGAATTTGGACACAAGATGAACACCAATGTGTTCAGGCCAATCTCTACATTCCCTACATATGCCAAATAAGCAAATCCATACACTTTCCATAAATAGCATTTAAATAGCATTTAGGACCGAAATGAGACTAACACAAAGGGCATAATAGCGAGGGTGTTTGGCAAACACGGTAAGCTATCATCCAGCAATATTGAGGGATTAGTCTCAATACGCGAGGGTTCTTGTCACTAGCCAATGCAAGGTATAACGAGATAGGAATTCCTTACTGGGCTAAGTATGCTTAACTAATAGCATGTAGGAATTCCATCTTTATGCTCATCTGGTCTAAGTACACTCGAAATGCCCAATTAACTCCACTAACACAAAAGGGGATACCAAAGGGATCCAACTGTACCGACCTCCTACTGTCATGACAATAAAGAAAAAGTGTTCGTAAGGATTGGCTAACAAGTATCTTTCGATACCCAAAGTCACATTCGCAATAAAAAAAGACAAATCCATCAACAAAAAGACTAAGTCCACTAGTAATACAAGGAATACTATTTGTTACAATTGCGGCGAGATTTGTCATTTCTTGAAAGAATGTCTTTACCTAAAGAAGGCTAGGATCAACATGACCATTAAGTTGGGTGAAGCCTAAACTAAGGTATATCTAACCCCTAGCTCAAAACTATTTATTATATAAGCAAATTTGGTAAACAATCACTCATAACATTTACTAGCCCTCCAAGGGAAGCCGGAAGGTAGTTTCATTTAGAGCCTTATTGACATTAGTGTAACTTGGTTGTAAACATACTCTAATAAACTAGACTAATTATATAGCAACTAGAAGAACTAAAGACTATAGAGTTTATTCAATGTAGCTAAAGCATTAATGAGGTACTTCAGCAAACACAAGTTAAAGTAGGGATATAAAAAGTGGATAGGGATTTCACCATTTTAAATATAACAAAATTTGATATGATCTTTACAATGGATTGGTTTAATTGGTTTCTAGTAACCTTGCATGGCAAAGGTAGGAACCTAGTGGTAGTAGTAAATGCCTTTGGAGAATTATCTAAGTTGGAAGACAAGGATCTAAAGATAAGGCAAAGTAAGTCCAAACACTTTTGCTTAAATCTAGTATCCACAAGAAGACAATTCACTAAAAGAATTAAAGTGGCATTTTTATGTTTACTCTTTATGAGAAGCGATAAAAAATGGAAACAAAAGAAGTGCCTTTCATGATTCAATAGATGTTGGACTAATTTTGAAATGACTTGCTGGTGGGATTACCTCTGCTTGATTGATAGAACATAAGATTATGTTGGTTGAGGGTGCTAAAGTAATGGTTCATACCCTTTATCACTTGAATGAAAAAGAGCTCAAAGAACTTAAATGTTAACTTAAGGAGTTGGTTGATAAAAGGTATATTACATTGAGCAATTCATCATATAAAGCTTAATGTTATTTGTGAAAAATAATGATAGGTCTATATGCATGTGCATAGACTATTGGTTGCTCAACAAGTATACAAAAACAAATAAGTACCCTTTACCAACAATTGAGGATTTATTTGATAAGTTAGGAAAACTAAGATACTTCTCTTGAATTAACCTAAGGTCATGATGATAGTACTAGATCAAGGTAATATAGGAAGATGTTGAAAAGATAACTTGTCAAATGAGGTATGAAAGCTTTGAGTCTATAGTGATACTCTTTAGGCTATATAAAGTGTCACAACTTTATCTTTATACCCTATATAGATCACTTTTTAGTCATCTACATTGATGATATCCTAATTTATAGCAAAACCCTAGAGGAGCATGCTAAGCATTTAACAAAAGTGTTTGAGAAACTAAGAGAACACAAGTTGTACACAAAAGAGAGCAAATATCACTTTCCTTAACAAAAGGTAAAATTTGTTGGGCATGTAATAGGTAAAGTATAGGCTCAAAATGGACTCTGAGAAAGTACAAACAATTTAGAAATGGGTGTAACCATCAAATATATATGCATTAAGGGCATTTCTAAGGCTATAAAATTTAGAGTTGCTCACCCCTTAATGTAAAATGGGAAAGGGAAGATGGTATGGATAATAGGATACAAAGCAACATTTATCCACCTGAAAGGAAGGTTGAAGAAGGCTTTCATATTAGTGTTACTAGACTTTAGTAAAGATTTTGAAGTAAAACTAAATGACTTTGAGGTAAGATGTATAGGACTAGATAAAGATATGCTCAACATGTCAGTAAGTAAAGGCTGTGACTAAGGCTAGTGGGGGCTTGATTGTCTATGGAAATGTCTTACAATGAACTTTATTACAGAACTCTCCTCAAGTGAGGGGTTTGATGCTATATTTATGGTGGTAGATCAATTTTAAAAAATGGCATATTTAATACCCAACACAATGGAAATTGATATGGAAGGTATGGCGACATTATTCTTTGAAAAAATGGTTCATGTTTAGGGAAGGCCAAAAGAAATTATCTCAGATTAAGATAAGATATTCACTAATAAGTTCTGGAGAACACTCTTGAAGTAGTATCATACCATATTAAATTCATCATATCTTATCATCTATAAACTAGTATTAAACATTAAGTCAAGTCATATGGTAATAACAATTTTGTAAGTGATTAAATTTCCATTCCATTTTTGTCACTTAAACACACCTTTGACCACTTGAAGGAGTCTCACTCACAACCTCCATAAGTCTTATTTCTAACTTGAGGACATGCTAGCCCCATAAATGGCATTTATGCCACTCAGCCTTTGCACTTAGTCCATGTGCTCCATGTGTCTGATCCACGACAGACACTCAAAGGTACCATTGATATATCAATCTATTACCATATCCTATAGCTATGTCTATTGACTTTTGTCTCATGGGTAATCCAAAACCACCCATACCACAATCTTGTCTTTCACACATTGGGCCCTCTGTCCATGAGTGGTCATCCCAAGACCACACCTTAGCATAAGATATGAGGAACACCCTTCCCCAATATCCTTCTTCAATCCTCACCAAGTCCTTTTCCATCCATAGTTGTGCTCACCAACATCGCCACTAGGTGAAAGGCCTGACCACTAAGTCCCATTGACCTTTGAGACTTCCTTGCCACGTGACTGTATCCTTGTGGGTACTCTCCCTACCTTCTACCTCTGGGTGCCCTAGCCATGTGGCTAGAGCGAGGTTCTGATGAGCCACTCCAGGTATCCAAGTAGGTAGTGCCACCCACACTTGGATTGGGAACATCAGTCATTCAATCTCCTGGGGGAGCTAGAGTCAGCTCTTGAACACTTCACTAAGCTACCCTACTTGTCCATCCATGTTCATTCTAGCCTTCAATTCCTCAATAGTTATATCATCACCCACTATGTGGGTATAGCCTTCCTTGCTCACATTAACCTTTTCTACCAAACTGGTTCCATTGGAGTCCTCCCCCTACTATTCTTTTGGAGCTCACCAAACCCCCCTGGGTCTGGTAGACAATCACTTTGGGCTTTCACCCTTGGACTTACACTCAAACTCAGACTTAGACTCAAACTTGAACTCAAACTCGTTCTTGCTCTTGGTCTCAGTTTTGGTCTCAGTCTCCATCTGGTTAAGGATCCTATCCCCTTACACCCTAAGCCACCTTTAGCCAGTTGGCTTAGGGTGTAAGGGATAGGATCCTAACAATCTTAGACTCAACCTTGGGCTCCATCTCAGACTCCTCCAAGAAAGAAATCCACATGATAAATGTCTGTGAGATAAAAAGTCTCAACAAGTGTGGTTTTGCCAACCAACACTTCCAGCCCCTTTACAAAAGTTTTCATTGTCATCTCGCATTGCAAATTTTGCAACTTTTTAATATCCAACTTACTATCATTAGAAGATTTACTATTCTTCTTGCTCTACTACTTGTTCTTCAACTATGGATAATCAACCTTCTAGTGTCCAAGCTCATCACAATGATGACAATCTTCCCTATAATTCATCACAAATAACTTTTGCTCCCTTTGCATCTGAAATAGTCACCACAAATTTCAACTTATGATGTTTTTTCCCATCCTTGTGATCATGGCAATCATCACAATGTTTCTCAACTGAAAGACTCTTTGAGTGCATGATAGACTTTGCTTGTCATTGTTAAGTCAACAACCCACATCAAATAGCTCTTCCAAACTCTTTGTATGTTGGTAATGACACAAGGGCTGTCTCATGCTCTCACTATGAAGGCCATTAATGAAGTACTCTTACTCTTATTTAGATCTTTCATTGGAACATGAATCAAGTGAGTAAGCTTCTCAATATAGTCCCCAAGCATTATTTTCCCTTGCTGAAAATGTCAAAGTTCCATACAGACATTCTCAACATCATAGTGAATGGCAAAAGATAAACAAAAAGCAACCTCAAACTCATCCATAGTAAACACTGGTGGTTTTTTGTCCACAACACAAGACTCCTCAAGACCATTGAAGACCCACATCATGCAAAACCATTGAAATAACCACTAAAGCCTTCGCATCTAGAGTTCCTTTGGTAGCCAAGAACTTCTTCAGATTGGCTAGTCAAGCCAAACACTTGTCCATGCCACCATCACCAAAAAAAGTTAAAACTATGAGCCAATCCACCAATTATGTTTTACTTGGAGCAGCAGCCTCAAGTGCTTCAACACACCCACACATGGTAGCCATCATGCCATGCATCTCCTCTTGCATCCCTTGCTGATTTTTTTGAGGGCTAGTAGCTCATGAACATCATGGATAGTCCAAATCTCTGTAACTCTGTCAGGACTACCATTGGCACCACCATTGATATTAGGATTCCAGTGTTCATCTTAGTTGGCCATCGCAACAAACTCCTCAGATACCAATGTTATAATCTGGCACTAAATAACAAAGACAAAGAAGTCTAGCCTCTGTAGACTATGCTATGCCTCCTCTTGAGGTTCCTCACCACCCAACCACCCCTGAATTACCTCAAAAGCTCCACTGTGCCACTGCTCCATAGGGTAAGTTAAGTTCCTTACTATGCCTTAACATACCCTTGAGCTTCCCTTAACCCATGTTGACCACCTGGTCAAAGCTGGCACTTAACAATTTTGGTAGCAGCTCCTTATTTCCCAAGAACAATGTGTTGACAAGAGATGATTTCTAGAGGCAGTGTCAATGATGATTAGTATAAGTTTTACACTGGATCCTCCAAAGATGCAACCAGTACTGGTCCAAATCACAGAAGAAAATGCTCTTGAAATTGTTCAAATTCTTTGAGGGTTGATGCACTAGGAAAGAAGCATCCAAAAGAAGTACGTAAAATAAACAGTGAGCTAGCCTCTTCCAACTCTTTGAAATTTACAAAGATGCAACTGCTTCAGTCACATGCTCCAGAGGTTCTGGTATCGCCTTCTCCATGCTAAGAAGAACCTTGCATTCTTTTTCAAAAGCCAAATATTCATTTTCTTTTGCCTCATTCCACATTGCACATAGCATCAACTGTTCATCCCTTTCCTGTAGAAGAGAGTAAAAAATTAAATACTAAAAAACCTTCAGATAAGTACTCTTTGATCGTATTCTTGCTTCTGTCGTTTCTCAATTTCTTGAAGGCGTTCTTTTTCTCGGCTCTCAACATCCTCTACCCAAGCTTGCTGTCTGTCAAGAAACTTTCGCACCATGGATTTCTAATAACATAGGTGACTAGAATCATGGACACAACCCTTGACGCAGTCTTTACCTCCCTGTGCACCATTCGTCGAAGTCGTCTAGGAATTTCCATGATATGTAAGATTCCTTGGATATCGCCCACGGCCAGCATCTGAGGAGCTGCTTAAAAGATGGTTTTAGTGAGGACGTTAAATTTGTGAAACTACTTACATTGCAATGGCCAAAACTCCATTGAAGTGACTTGGCAAGATCCTATCGATGCCAGCGCTGATGGTTGATGACTATGATCGATCAGATCCCACACTTCTATACTACCATCAATACGACCAATGTAAAGAACTCCTGGTCGTGATGGACTCCAGCAGCCACAAGTAAGGTAGCCTTCGGCTGATCTTGAAATAAATATTGGTTTCTGGGAAAAGACAAATAAGTCCATATATTTCCTGCACTAGTTCTATACCGAGAAATCATTTTTCCACAATGCGAAGGTCCAAATGTCAACTGAGAGGAGTACATCCTCGTAAAATGGCGAGCGTTGGAGGGCACGCACTTGTCCAAAATGCGACTGTGAAATGTCCTGGATTATCTTGTCCTTGGGAACATTGAAATCCGCCCGCAGCACTTCACCAAACTGAAAAGTGTTTGTTATGCCGATGAACAAAGCCTATAAAAGTATGGGCACCTCAGTGCTACAGAAAAACCGCGAATCTGTAGCAATTGTCATCTTTAGCAGTCCCATAATTCGGCGTGGATCGCCACCCACCAGGTCAATTTGCAAAGCAGGATCCCATCTGTACTTCTGATTGGAAGTATCCGCTGCTTTTCTTTCGTCATCACTCCCAGCATTACGATTTAAGTCAACATCAGTAATGTTCCAAAATATAGCCTGTGGAAGTGAGATATATATTTTCTGTAAACAACATGAAGTACCTTCCCGTCTGCCCCTACAGAAACAAGTACTTTAGTGCTCTGTGAATGACCTTTTGATATTTGTCCATTTGCATCGAGCTGCAAGACCGGCACAATGCTTTTGTCGAGCATTAATTATGGGCTACCTGCAGGTAATCCGGCAGCCAATGAAGGTCTGATACTATCGCGTTATGAGATCTTGCAGCAGAACTAAGTAGGTGGCAAATGACAATAGGAGCCTTCTTTTTTTCTTTGTCCTTGCCTTGGTCTGCTTGGTCTGATGATTCTTTTTCTTTTGCTTCCATATGCATTTGAGCTGCTGCAATGTCCCAGATAATCACCTATATAGGTTTCAAATTGCTAAGATCACACGGAAACCACGTACATATAACAAAACCTGGCCATTGTAACAGCCTCCAGCCACAAATCGGGGATTCGACTGGTTGAATCGTAAAGAAAAAATGTCCGAAAGGCATTCAAGTATTATCTGCAGATAACTATCAGCCTTTTGAAAGGAGAAGTGGAAAGGAAGTGATACTTGAGGTCGAATAGGGTCCACGAAGCTCCAAATAAGTACAAACGAATTGCTAGGTTTTCCTGTAAACTGAAGCCTTTCATCATATGCCCGTGAATCGGAACATGAAGCTGCAACTACACCCTTTTTCCCAGGCATCCAATCAATTGCAGAAATCATTTTTCCTTTGCTATATAGTAGATCAGAAAATGCTTGAAATTCCTGACCAAATCCAGCAAGGGCTGTTTGATGGATTGGATGACGACACGAGATCTCACCGTTATAACACTGATTGTTTTCTGTCCTGCATGCTCGTCTTCCTCCCCAAAGCTTGCAAAGTCATCTTCAAATAAGTCCAGAACTTCGTTTTGCTGCAAAGCATCTACATATCTGCAAAGAAAATGCTGTTAATGACCAGATAAATTCAGTGGGCTTACCTTGGCTTTGATGAATCCAGAAAGGCACACATGTGATCACTGTCAAGAATGATCTTTCTGTTCTCATCAGTCAGCATTCGAGGCTGATATTGTATACAGTTGTTTCGAGACACCTCCCTGTGATCTATCACTTTACCTTAGCGGCACAGAAAGTCTTACTTACTGGTCTGTTTGAGACGCACAGTCTCGAGTGATTGGAATTGACTGTATTCCAATGTCTTGTTCAGCCAAACACTTGTCATATGCTGGATCTTTGAAAGGACGGCATTCCATTTGTCCACTACTAAAAGTTTCCTGTGATAAAAAATGTTATTAACATGTGGAAATGTAATTTTGAAGTTATAACCATGGAATCTCGGTCACTAAATGCTACTGCACCACCAAAATCCTTGCGCTTTCTTGTAGCCCTTATAACAATCTGCATAATTTCATATTAGCAGATAAATCTATAAAAAGATTGCCAGTCACCAGTTTCCTAGACGTGTGAGCTTGCTCTTCCGCAATCTCTTTGTCACTACCAAGATGGATCCATGGTTTTGGCTCTCTTTTCGTCACTTCAGGCTTTGATGGTGGTTTGGAAGCATCGGCTTCCATGGCTATTTCCTGCAGTTTCAAAAGGAAAGTCAAAAGAAATCAAAGTGATCCAGACCGACCTTCATTATAGCCATATGCCCGGCTTGGGTCACACAAATCTCAAAGTTTGTACTATCACCATACCTGTCTTTATAGCGGAGAAGTATTTCTCCTGTATTATAGGCCTGCAAGCCGTACTCTACAAGATACACAGAAAATTAAGTTTCTTACTTGTAACTGTGGTTTAACAGGATGAAAATCCGAGATTGCGCCACGCATTTGAATGTCGTCCATGATGACATTCTTCGGGACCTTGAAAGTGTTGCCATGTCTGGCAGATGTTTTGTCGATACTGATGATCTTGCACGTGTCATCTGTGAGATAAATAGATGCTACGCCCTCTGACCTCTCCAGGTGATGTGGGACGTCTGCCATTAACAAACCCTAAATCAACTTTTGAACAGACTTTTTTCTAGATTTTAATCTAGAGAACCCTTGTGAAAGATGGCGGCATGGGAAATCAGCAGGGAGAAGTTTAATACACACCAACAGGTTTTTCTATTTCTTGCACAAATAATAATTTAAAAAAAAGAGATGTAAATCATCATTAATCACTAGGTGGACTTTAATCAAATGCTACCCTGCAGCTGCTGATGCTCCTAACACTGTTATTAATTTTATCTTTGTTACTCCTTAAAGTTTTATCTATGCTACAGAGGAGATTAAATACTTTTCTCGCTTGTGTCTTAGAAACTCTGTTGTAAGTAGACAAATGTGCTGCACACCATAGGAATGACGATTCAGTGAGCTCTTTGCAAGATGGGAGAGGCAGCAGCAAGTCGTGCCGAGAAGGTATCAGAATAGACTAATAACAGGTTTAAAATGCTTGCATTACACTGCTTTAAATTAAATGGCAATTAAAATTTTAAGTTTTTACTAAATAAAAGTTCACTTTTTAACAAAGCTCGCCTTCACAGCAAATTTTAATGGGACTGGAAGCATGCGCTATGGCGTTGGGCAATCCCTGTATCTCTTGCGTCGTCAACACCAAAGCCCAATTCACAGGCTCATTCAATGCGAGCATAGCCGCGAGTCAATTCCTATGATTCGTGTGAGCAAGTGAGATCTGCGCCTACCATGGGCAATCGGGGGCGGCAATGTTTGACCTGGAGGCTGCTCCTCAGGTTCTATGCTGATCATCCTGCAGGGGCAAAGAGGATAGAGCAAGGCGCCATTGCGCAAGATCTCATGATGGAGAGAAGCATCATCACGATGCTTGCCACTCCCCACAACGATCACATACTGGCCTCCTCCCCTTCGCGCATGCACGCTCACGCTCGTTGCTCATTACTAACTAAACGTAAGAATTCTTACATTTAGCTAATAACACAGGAACTGAAAATTTAAAAGAGTGTTTGGAGAAATTTCTTAACTACAGCCATTAACTAGAGCCATTAAAATTTACTTAAAAGGCTGTGCCTTTTAGGTAATGGTGCCCATAAAAAGTAAAGGGTGGTTAGCTTAGCTCGATTAACTCAAATCTGTCAGGAACATGGCAAGCTGGGCACAAGACCGGGCGGTCAATGGGCGCACACCTGCCCTTGACCGTCCTCAACGGGCAGCACAAGTCAGTTAAGTGACATGTGGCTCATTTTTATTGGATTAGCATGATTCTGGAGAACTTGACCGTCCTTACAACGGTGGGCACAAGCCAGTTAAGTGACACGTGGCACATTTTTATTGAATTAGTATAACTTACCTTAACAGGCTGTGGCTCTCCTGTTAACTTGATCCAGCTGTTGGTTCCCTCCCAAACGTGCTTGCCAGGCTAACGCCTGGCTTGCCTGTTCTGGGCAGGAACATGCTTGCCCTACCCTGGAACCCCTTATCTTTAAGGGCGGGGTTCCATGCGTCCCCCACCTGGAAATGTCCCCCACCTGGAAATTTCTTCACCCTGGAAAAAAAAACTCCCCTCTTCTCATGTAACCCACCCTTAAAATGCCATGTCATCAATATAGTTTTTGCCAAGTCAGTTAATTTTGTTTTGTCTTTTTTAAGCAATGATTACTATTTTTATATGTGGCACTATTTTATTAACTTGTTCTACCAGGTTCTAGGCACCGGGAGAAATTTTCGGGGGGGACACCGGGTTCCCCCCTTTCCCCCAATTCCATTGCCATGTCACTGGTGGGATACATGGAAAAAAGGGGTTAAAAATTTCCCCCCTTGAAAAACTTCCCCCAGGGGGACACATGGAACCCCACTCTAACAGGCACCACAAGCCAGTTAAATGACACATGGCACATTCTTAGTGGATTAGTATGATCCTGGAGAACAGGTTCTCCAGAATTGTACATGGCACGTCAGCCACGTGGGTGTCTCGATTCAACTGTCAGCAACTGCGTGGAGAACCTGACTTGATCCGACGGCTGCCAACAGCTGGATCGAATTAACGGGCGAGCCACAGCCCCGTTAAGGCATACTCATATTTAATTAGTGTGTCAACCTTCAAAATGCCAATGTGTCCACCCAAAGCCATTCACGGGATCAGGTTGGCATCCAGACAGTGGGAGTGTGACAAGGAACTCAAGCTTTGTCGCTTATCAAAATAACAATCACATCGGAAACAGGTAGCGAGAAAATGTTTCATTCATTTGAAATATAGACAGTTAAATTGATGTCTTACTTAGCTACCATTATTTTGATTACAGATCCCTTTCCAATTTGGTGAATTGCGACCACTGCGTCTCCGTGGTTGCATAATCCTCTTGTGATAGCATGTCGAATGGCGGAATTAATAATTTCATCTGTAGAATCAGCATCAGCTGTAGTTGGAGAGCCTTCAGAGAGTATGGGAACAAGGCCTCTGCACACCAGGCTGTGGCGAGCCGGAGAATCGGCTGTACTCGACCAGCTTAGGCTATCAGCTTTCCAAACCGGAACTGCCACCGATAAGATTGGCACTGAGGGCCTATATTTAGACACAAGCTTAGCAGTTCCACCTGTTCGTGTGAGAACTAAAATAAGCTTAGCTCTGGTTCTAAATGCTGTCCTCACGGCCGTAGAAGCCAAGCTCTCCAAGGGGCTCATAGGCATTGGTGCATTTTTGAGGATGACTTTGAACACAGAGCTGTAGTCAATAGATGCCTCGGCTTGAACGCAAATCTTATTCATGATTCGCACGGCATTTTCAGGATAGGCACCAGCTGCAGTCTCCCCACTAAGCATGACAGCATCAGTACCGTCCAGCACAGCATTTGCTACGTCAGTTGCTTCCGCTCTGGTTGGCCTTGGGGATTTTATCATTGACTCAAGCATCTGAGTTGCTGTTACTACGGGCTTCCCGGCAGCATTGCACTTGTATATCATCATCTTTTGTGCCAGAAATATTTTTTCAATTGGAATTTCCATTCCAAGGTCTCCTCGCGCTACCATTATCCCGTCTGTTTCTCTCAATATGTCATCGAAGTTTACTAATCCTTCTTGGTTCTCAACCTGTAATTGAACTCAATATTTCTGCTTTTCTATATCAAATAGTACCTTGGAAATAATCTGAATTGTGGCTGCATGTTCTCCGAGAACATCTCTTATGTGAAGTATATCAGTGCCCTTCCGAACAAAAGAAGCTGCTATAAAATCTATTTTGTTTGGAATTCCCCAAACAAGGAAATCTTCCCTGTCCTTCTCTGTGATGGTTGGCAAATCTACAACCACTCCAGGCAAGTTCACATTCTTTTTCTCCCCCAGCATGGCAGTATTCTCACACCGGCATCTCACTTGTCCGGCAGCAGGATCGCAAGATAAAACAGTCAAAGTAATTGTTCCGTCTGAACACAGTATCATATTTCCAGGCGCAACATCCTGTGGCAGTTTCTTATAACTCATCGCGATCATTTCGGTGTCACCCTTGTGTTCATAGTCTGTGGTAATTGTAAGTTCCTTTCCTTCTTGGAGTTTGATAGCCTTTCCATCTTTTAAGACCCCAGTACGAATTTCAGGTCCCTGCTCTGAACAAGAACTTATTAACCCCTATTCAAAGTATGCTTCGGTATACCTTTGTATCAAGCATTACGGCACACATGATCTGTGTATTTGACATAGCAGCCTTTAGATTCTCCAGAGTCTCTTGATGATACTCATATGAACCGTGGGAAAAGTTAAAACGAGCAACATTCATTCCAGTCCTCAAGAGCTTTTCCAACATGGGAACATCGCGTGAACGAGGTCCTAATGTGCAGATGATCTTCGTCTTTGGGTGTAGTCTGGGACCGTCATCAGATTCCAGAAGCTTTGCGATGTCAATGTTCGCCATATGGTGGCTTCTTTCTTTTCTCAGGCAGTCTCATAAACCATTGTAAGAGACGTGAAAAGACACAACCAGACATTACGTACGGTATTGTACATTCGTACTTCTACTGAACATCATGGACATTTCCAAAGATAGATTTGCCAAATTTTCATTTATGGTCACACCGTTGAGTCACGGCTCCACGTGTTAGCCAGCGGTTGTTAGCATCAAAGCGTCCCTGACCTTGAGGTTTTCTATGGCGAATGCTGGTGATGAGGAACCAACTGAAGAGTTAGGGCAGCTGAATCACGTTCTTGTAAAACAGCTTGCATCCATACAGGCCGATGGCGACAACTTGACAAGGAGACTTTATGGTTTAAGAGCAGCAGCTGCAACCGCAACTGCGTCAGCCTATAATTCAACAAACATCAAATCTGCCGACAGCAGTACTAGTAGCAGCTGCAGCAAAACTACAGCTGTTAGGTCATCTAAGAGGGAACTTAAGGACGCAAATTTCAATGGTGACGTCTTTAAGCTTTGTAGACTCGCGAACCTTCTCAACGAGGAGAATGATCGATTGGAAGCACAGCTTCGGCAAGCGAGAGAGGATTGTGAGCGACAAAGAGAAATTGCCAGAAATAAAGCTGTTGAGGTAGAGGAAATGAAAATGGTATTGCAGCGACACTTGGATAGAGCAACTCTTCCGATCGCTTCATTTGGCTGCGATCAAGAGGACCGAAGCATCTCTCTAGTATCAATTCTGGAGCAAGAGGCATTCCGCATGTTGAACGAAGATAAAGAGTCTGAGGAAAATGAGAAGAACATTTTGAGGTCTGAAATTCAGAGACTTGCTGTGGACTTTGTCCAGGGCTTAATGAAGGTGGAAAAGGATATTCGAAGGCCTACACCAAAGAAAGTAGCCTCTCAACTGAATCTGGAATCCTTAGACCAACCGTGGTGCAACCACATTTTCAACTATGCACTCCCTGCAGCAGCAGCCTCAGGAGCACTAATTGCCATAGCTCTAACTCTTAAAATGTCATCCACTGCAGCAGCGTCTAATCGGCAATTGACATAGCATTCTAATATTGTTTGCACATCACCGCTAGCAGAGCGTTCGAATAAACTGGAAAGAAATTAACAAATAAGACAAGGACGAATTACCCGTGGTTTGCTCAAACAACCGTGACCGCATCTCATCTTTGACTCTGGTACCTAAAGCTTGCAACTATTTTAAAAGTATGTGACTTGTAATGCCTCTGTTATTTACTCGTCCATGTGGCGTTCACCACACAGGTGCTACCTGATCTTGCGCTTGTATTTTTTTGCAAAGGTTTGTAATCTATGAGGTCTGACAAGGATACGAGTAGCTACTCAAATTGTTTTATTGTCATCTTGTCTGTTTATTGCAGCCTCGTATCTGAAAGTATATTGCTTACGCAAACGTTGCAGCCATTGTCGCGTCTACTCCAAAATGAAACTCTAATGAAATTAGAAACATCTCCATTGATGTGACTGATCTAGTGAGCCAGCACATTTGTTCACACCACCACCAGAAAATGTTATAGTTAGTTGAGTATATTGAAAAAACGACTAGAAAATATTCTCTTTTATGTGAATCATTTCCTTTGTAATGTCCTTTTACAAATGGAAAGAGAAATGGAACTTTTTTACTTCGCTGTTAAAGCTGGCATGGCATCTGAAGATATCCCATCAACTCCAACTTCGAATTCTCTTCTTGTAACTTCAAGGTTATTTCTTAATTTTATAGATGATAGGTGGAAGATATCATTTTTTTTCATGTTACTCATATAAGAATATGGTCTATAACAGACAATAATTATACTCTTCTGCAATAGTCTTTTGAGGAAAGGGTTTACCCCTGCGTAAATTTTTTATCATAATAACCTAATAGAAATTCAGATTGTTGCCTCCTTAGTATCTTTTTAATTGAATCTTCACTTACAATGCATAAAACAATTCGAGGATTAGTACGCTCAAACATTGTCTTGTATTGTTGAACAACTGGATTAAATTGTATTGAAGAATATTTTCCATGCTAGAGATAAATTCTGATATTGTTTCTGATATTGCTTGACCAAACTAACAAGAGGTGAGTCTAAAAGTGACCTTCTATCAATAACACCAGATGCTATGGTACAAGCTTTTTTTCTGAACTTGTAAAGATAATAGATAATTATATGATAATAATAAATATAAATTATATAATTTCTTATCTCTAGATTAGAGCTTCTTAGAGGAGAAAATGGATAGAGAGACCGCTCACAGCTCGGGCTAAATCAATCGATCAATTCACAGCACTGGGTGCTAAAGAAGGAGAAGGAGTAAAAAAGAAAGCTTTGCAATTTATTCCAATGCACTCTAACAAAACTTACAATATAGGTTCTTTTGCTATTTTCTTTTTCTCTAACTCTCTTCTTCATGCTAGTAGTGTCCTTCCAGATTGCTACTCAATCTCCTTCCCATCAGCTTCATGCTTGCAAAGCTTTGGCATTCTCTCATTGATGAGATTCCATACCAATTCATACTTGTTTGCACTTGGTAGCATTTGAAATAATCTCTTGAGGATATATGTGTGACAACTGGCTTCTGGATGATTCTCAAGAGTACATCTGGTACATCTTGTGAGTGGGCAGACCCTGGAGCAAGTATGGAAGCAAGCGTCTCCATGATGATCACGGCAGCTCTCTTTGCTAGCACCTATGAGCCAGTAAAAATTTATTCATAGATTTGCCAGGAACTCACTATTCAAAGATTGACACAATATGAGATGACAAATTTCTTCATAGATTTGCCAGACCTTACTGGCAACTTGTTCAAGGAACTCCTTCTGCGACAAAAGAGCTCCTGGAATCTCCACAAACTTGACCGCTCCCTTGGCACCTCGGAGAGCTTCCATCTCAGCTCTAGAACACTTTGAAAACAATCATCAGCTTTCTGCGAAAGAGCTCCATGATTAACTTCCCGGCTCTTCACTGGATCGAGCAGGCCAGTGAGGAAGGCTGCTGGAGCGTAGGGAGCTCCTGGGAGCTTTGTGAGTGAGGCAACTGTAGACAATGGCATCAGTCACGTTGCTTAACTCCGAGTAGACATGACTTTCAGACTGTTTTCTTATGTTGCTTTGGCTGCTCATAAGTGTGTTATAAAGAGGCCACCCCATGGCAGTAGCTCAAAAAGCTCCTCCATAACTGGGCATAAACAATACAGAGTTAAGCAAGAAAAGAAAGATTTTATGACTAAGCACTGCTTGGAAAAAACAAAGGTCATCAGAGACAATTTACAATGTAACATTCCAGCTTAACCCTCCTAATTGAACCAGGATTCCACTTGAGGTATAGAAATACTTCCAGTCATCATTTTTGCTTCAAATAAGCATGACCTTCAAGGCCAATTCCCTCAAAGAAATGCCTTAGCTTTTTAAAGTTTGGAGAATCCAAGCAAATGGCTCCAGAAAAGGATGAGCTAACATCTACAACAAAAAGTTGTATTAGATGACCAGCATATTAGATTCATTCTCAAGTAATAGAGTTGCAAAATGCACAAACCTGTTTTATTAGTAAGCGTGTTGCTCTAAGGTTTATAAGGTTTATTATAATCTTCCTGTCTTTGAAAGAAAATGGATTGATACTCTTGTCTCAATTTTTTTTTTTCTTATAGGTGGAAGATTCCATCTTCATGCTTTGAGCTTTCTCAGAGTTGATCTTGTGTAGCACGAAACATACTGCTACCAAAACCTCTCCAGGGCGTCCCGATTCTCTACCTGGAGAGAAGTGAATCACAGACAGACAGACAGACAGACACACACACACACAGAGCCACAAACCTGGTCGTCATGGATTGGATATGTGAGCGTGTAGGCAAGTGCACGATTCCACGTCAGAGCTTCGTTGCCGATGAAGTTGGCCATGACACCAGCATTGTGGCGGCCAGCCATCCGCCCTTGCCCTGTGGAGAGAGTGCCACGGGAGAGGAAGAGGCGTGACCATGGGGATTATGAAGGACGGCTCCACATTCCCTGTGAATCCAACACGTTTTCTGTGCCATTCTCCAACTGTCTAGCCATAGCTCCACAAGCAGTTCAAAACAAATGTTATCTTCTTTAGAAAACACTAGCAAGGAATCCAGCTCCGCTGGCCGGACCAAAATAAGTCTTTGAAAACACTTTACTGGGATAGAAAAGTTATAGCTAATAGTGCAACATAGAATAAATTAGTGTATATTGTATGCTTCTAAGATTTATCATGAGCATTTATAATATCTATAAGAGTAATAATAATCACAAAGCCTTTTATAAGAGAAATCAAGTTTACAAATAATTAATTTTCTTTTAATTTGTAATTATGTAAAAATAAATGAAAATAAGATTAGCAGAGATACCAGCAGAAAATAGCAGCAGGGATCCCAGCTCTGATGGGAAGTAGATATAAAATTCTGTAAATGTAAATTAGTTTTCTGATATAAAAATATACTTTAATGATTCTGTAAATTAATATTTGTTCATTTTTGAGGTTCTAATAATATTTCCTGAACTTGTGTTACTTAAGTGGTTAATAGATTTAACATTTTTAGATTGTCATAGCTTACCCAGACAAGTTTTGATTGAAGCTAAGCAGGCATTGCAGCCTTGAAGCCTTGGAGGACTTGTACCTTCTATGGAGCACAATCGGTCTGTGCCATACTGCCCAACAGAAAGGCTTCTTAGTGTAGAAAATATTTTTAACAATTAAAGAAAGGCATAAATGACAACAGCATAGCCATGTCCTGCCCCACCAAGGACATGACCACATGGCAAGTGCTCAACCTCAAGCACAAATCTTGACGTATCCATTCATGCTCTTGTCATTTGAAACAGGTCCTTTAGCCCAACATTCATGCTCCTAGCTGCATTCCTAGCTTTCTTACTGCTTAGATTCATGGTATCTAATGATACCATGCAGACTGCTCGGCACCATATAGTTCCCCGGCAGAGCGATCATTCCCTCCTTGCCTTCTTCTAGCAAGCT